AACTTTTTATATAGAAAGTAGCCAAATGATATCATAAGTCTTATGATCAAGGATTTTATATGATTCAACATTATTCGTCTAATAAAACTTTTTATATGGGGACATCCATAATTTACGTTAAACCAGTATTGTTATAGGAATCCTAAAGATAATACAAAAATAATATTATCTTCAAGGTCTCTATTTATACAATACTGTACTGGTTTAACATAAATTATGAATGTCCTCTATACTTCTTTTTTGTTTATTCTTCATAGTTTTCTTTTTTTTAAAAAAGTACTTTAAACTGTTAAATAGTGTAAAATTAAATTGATTTAAACTGAATAACTTTACTCTGGGTTATTATATAATTTATATAATATAATCCGGGTTGTTCCAGAGTATGTTGTTCCATTTAAAAGCCCTGGTTTTCAATACGTGAGAGTTTACACATATGATATTGTGTTTGTTATTTTTTAGAGATTTAAAGTTCAAAATGCTTTGTTTTACTGGAAACTATGGTAACAATTACTGAATCTACAGAATCAGTACCCAACCTTATAGTCTTTTATTACACAAATGAAGTTGAGGATTGGAGCTGCAGCAATATAGTAGAATATTACCATATGAAATATAAACAGAAAGAAAGGAAGAGAGGTGTAGTAACTTAGTGTAGTAGTCTAGTCATCACCCTTTCCAAGTGGCAGGTCTAGAGTTCAAATCCCGTGGACGACGATTTTTGAAAAATAGGCTTGTGTTCGGTTGATGGCTATGCATATCGGTTAGATCTAATCTGTAACTTCAGTCACACTATCTAGTAATGGGAACAATAGCACAATAAATCCAAGGAACCAGCATAACTAAAAACCCATTTGGGAAGTTCCAAGTTAGGAGTAATAGTGATCTTTGATGGTATCACAAGAGGGCTGAATTCGAACTGGGGCCCGAGATCAGAGAACCAAATAACCAGGTCTGAATGGCGGAAAACACACCAGCCAAACTGCCAGGTTCTGTCGCACTGGAGGAAAAGGACATACACTCCGAAAGTATGTACCAAGAAGAGGGCGTTCTTCAAGTACCTAAAGCCTGGGCAGACCAACTCTTCCGGGTTGCTGGCTAGAAGTAAGGGAAAGACTGATAAAGAATCCGGGTAAGAAGACAGTTCAAATGTGGGTACCAGGGTTGTTAGAAACCTAATAAGGGCAGAAGTAGGTAATCACAGAGGTTCAATGGTTAGCCCTAACCCCAAGTACATAGGTAGAGCTGTGGCGTAAGTTACTGAAGTCTAGATAAATATATGAGTAGGATATGTGATATTTAGCAAAATGGGAATACCTCACTATCCAATGATTCAAAGGCACCCGGAGTCGAGGTAAGTAAACTACAGACGCCATGTAGACCAATGGTGAGGTAAATAGGGGTTAACTACGACTATACTGAGCTGTAAGGTTTGGTACATCTCGCTTGCTCAAAGGAGTTTATGGAGATTTGGCAACTGTAACACCGCGGAGGGAGGGACCTGGGACATCTGCGGTTGTTGATAACTAATTAGGAAGGTTATGGCTTGAGATACAGACTGGGTTATGGCAGCATCCCAAAAAGGTGGCTTGAGATACGAACTCAGTAGTGGCAGTATAACAGGTACTAATTAGATTAGAGATTACCAATAATGTACTGAATTTCTGTTGTAAAAGTATATGTTGTATTACGCATCTACAATAATGAGTAATAAAGAGGCAGTGTCGTTAAAAAAAAAAAAAAAAAAAAGAAGAAGATTCTAGATCACATTAAAAAAGATCTTTAGAAAATAGATGATTTACTTTTTGAGTTTGATAAGATACGCAGAAAAAAGGCTAGAGAAATTCTGGATAATTGGAAAGTATAGGCACTATTTGTTAAGAAGCTAGCTAGCTAGGCGAGTTAAATGCTTAGTCAACAGTAATAAACTTTTCATTTGACACTTAGTGCAAGCTGGAGCTCTTCATCTCCAGTGATGAACTCTTTGTTTGACACTTAGTACAAGCTGAGACTTTTCATCTAAAGATTGCTTTTAACTCAATGCTTCTTTTCGCTTAATACTATTAGTAGAAAGCTCTTTTCCAACTAATCTATATGTACACTATTTTTAAGGAATGGAGTTTGCAAAAAAAGAACTTAAAAATAAAAGAAATAAGATAATGAAAGTTGTTTTAAGCAAAATAAATCACTAAAATAGTTTGTCTTAAAGCAAAGTTACTATTGACGACAACGTACAAGCCATACAAGTGCAACCTGCTATCAAAGAAGCTGAGATATGTTAATATAAAATGTTATTAGACAATATTTCTTTTTAGTTCTATTTACTATAAGTGGATATCTATTGTATATTATATTAGGGTGCAACTGAAATTAAACAAAGTAAAATCAAAGAACTTTTCAATGGTGCAAAACAACACAACATTTATATATTGTGCGAGCTATTTAGATTATTATCTCAAGCAGATGCAAAAGATCTGTTCAAGTCAATAGCTCATAACTCTACTGTTGAAATAAATCTCCCCAAAGATATAGAAGATTACTTAAAAAATTTGCTTACTGGAGATATTGCTAGCATATTGACAAAAGCAAAGGAACTTCTCAGTAATGATACACAACTGCTTCAACTATGGATAAATGAAATATATAAACATTTTATTTGTTATTATTATTACAGAAATTTGGAGATAAATAGGGACAAGAAAACTTGGTCTGGCTAGACAGTGTATCGGATGCTTGACTTGTTTTTAATGTTCTTTAAACATTTAACATCAGGTGTATCCTTGTAAAAAATATTATTTATGCCTTTAATCTTTATTTTTTAATAAATTAATATATATTAATTTTATTTAACTTATTTTATTTAGTGAAGAAATAACTAATGAAGTGCACAAAGATAGAGTCTGTAATATTCAAAACCTAACAAATATCTAAAGGGGATATAAAAATGATAGCGTTTTGTATCAAGATCAAAATGCAACAATAATTTATAAACAGTCTTATAGTCTAGCCGAATATGACATAATGCATTACTTAGAGAATATGATTAAATTAGCGAGTAATAGCGTAGACAATTTAAATTAAAATTTTGTTCAATACGGCAATTCATCAGTAACAACAGCAAAGAGACTTAAATCAATTAGCATTCAAGGATATAGTAGATCAGCAAATTTATAAGACCGTAATATTTCATAATAATTTACGAAACATAAAATAACTGTAATATTACGTAAAAAATTTCGAAATATTGCGAAATATCAAAATTATGAAATATTATATAAGATATTTCGAAATATTTTACGTAATATTATGGTTAAGCAAAAATTCAAAAATTCGCATAAGCCACTTTTCGATTTTCATATCACCAACTGTCCCCAATTTTAAATCAATATTCATTATTGTTATCTCCCTTTTTCACACCTTTATCTCTTTTTATTTTCGTTCTTTTTATTTTATTTTTTTTCTTTTTAAGACTTTTTATCTTTTGTTCTTTTTTTTATTTATTTTTTTCACACTCTAATTTCCACGCCTATTAATCGCAGACCAATCATAATGCATGTTGGTGATTAGTGTTTATTTTTTTTAAAGTTGCATATCTTTTCAATGAGGTCACTGTAGGATCAGAGGCTGAGCAATTAATTTCTTGTTAAGTATATTTGTTCTTCCTTCTTACTAATTTTCAGATTTTCTTTTGCTTATTTCTTTTCTTCCTTTCTGACATTAATTTGAATTTAACATAACACTAATATCGCTATGATCACTGATTATCGTTTGGATTTGATCTGTTTAATAGTCATACGTACATTCAGGCACATACAAAATATCAAGTATGTATTATAGATTCTAACTCTACTTAGAAGTTGTGGAATTGCCTCGCTGGAGGTAATTTATAGTTTGGTTTCAGAATTCTATTTAGATTAAGGGCTTTTTCTTCTCTTGCTTTGCTTACATTTGATTCTTTGGTTTTAGTTCTATTTTAGCTTTTCTTAACCAACTTCTTTTTTTCGCAAGAAATCTTTGGAGTAGCCTATGATAAGGCTTAATTTTGATCACGATATCTTTGGCTCTTGTTCAGGTTCTAGTATGGGATGACTCCTAAACTATAGGCTTTAATTCCAAAAAGACCATAAAAGAGAAGCATCTTATTTGTAGTCTTTTTTTTGGAATGTTGCATATAGGCGATGGACTAGGAAACCCCATTTTTGAAGAGATTTTCCATTTTAAGAAAATAGTGATTAAATGTTTGTGTTACCTAAATTTCTGTTGATTTTTTCCCTGAATTTTTGATCTATTTTTAGACATCCAATCACATGATATAATATTAATCAATATTTTGATTACGTGATTACTTATTATTTTATTCATCTTTAGCAATATCTTTAAACGAAAATAAAGAAAATAATTTTTTTCCATCATATATTACTTTAGAACAGCTAGGTTTAGATGATTATGAAAATAATGAATTGGTACAAGAAGTTGTACAAGATTTATGAAAAATTTTTCATTCCAAAAACTATGAATGTCAAATAAGAAAAACTTATCAGTGTTTTGAAAAAGTTAGATTTAAGCGATTTTTTGAACGACATATACAATTTCATAGATTAGATAAAAAAGAGCTTGATTTAGTTTTGATGGACCAGCTTATAGCATTTGAATATAATTAAATAAATAAAAATACTAAAGAAAATACTAAACAGAATTTTAATTATCAATTTAATAATGATATTAAACTCTGTAAAAATACATATCTTAAGCTAATTGGAGTTAAAAACGATTATTTTATTCATATTAAAGAAAATTTAATAACTAAAGGATTAGTTAAATGAGTACATGGCAATACAAAGCGAATTTCTAAAATAAAAAATCGTACAACAATTGATTAAGCAGTTTCAACTTTAGTTTCAATATTTATTAGTAATTATGCTAATATTCACGGATATTCTTCTCCAGGTAGACATTTACAAGAAGATACACAATCAATAATTTACTTACCAACTGATAAAGATTATGCTAAAGTATATACTAATTTTGTTAAATGTCTTAATATTTTTCCTGAAAAGCTATTCGATAAAATTAGTTATAAAAGTTTTGTTCATATTTGGAAAGAGTTATTACTATATATAAAATTTATGATATTTGGTACAGATTTATATGAAACATGTGAAATGTTAAAGGCTGAAATTCAGAGTGCAAATTATAATGAAGAAAAAGAATTAGTTCAAAAAAGATTGGATAATTATAAACAAAAAGCAGAAACAGAATGAAAATATTATCGTAACAACATTTTGTCAAGTACAATCTTACCTGATACAGGACATGTATGTTATGATTGGGTACAGAATGTTCCTGTACCTTATTCTTCTCAACAAATCGGTACATCATATTTTAAATCAGCGCTTCAGACTTATGTTTTTGGTATTTGTAATACTGGACAAAATCCAGCTCAACAATTAAATTATTTAATTGCTGAAAATGAGTTCCCTTACAAAACAAGTAAGGGAGCAAATACAACAATTAATCTTGTTTATAATGGATTACGACGATTTTATAATCATGAAAAACACTTAAAAGTAACATGTGATAATTGCTTAGCACAAAATAAGAATAATTTCTCATTATACTTTTGGTGCTGGCTTATATTAATTGAAATGTATAATACAATTGAGGTAAATTTTATAGTAACTGGACACACAAAATTTATATGTGATAAATACTTTGGTAATATTAAAACACTTTACCGAAAAACAATTATCAACACAGTAGATGACGTTCAAAAAGTAATTAATAAGTCAACAAAAAATAATTCCAACAAAGGAATACGTTACAATAATAGTGAAGAATGGGCTTATTACGATTTTTCTAAATTTTTAAAACCACATTTTAAAGAACTACCTGGAATTTTAAAGTATAACCACTTTTTATTTATTTCTAAAAATCCCGGAAAGGTATTATGTCAAACTGAAGCACATGGTACCTATAGCACATTTAATATTTTAAAAAATAAGTTCAACGTTAATGAGGTTCTTGAAAAAATTTCTTTAAAACCTTTATCAAAAGAATATCAAGAGTACCTTTACTATGAAATAAAAAAATACGTAGATATAAAATTTCAAAAAATAACTTGTCCAAAGCCATCATGGCTTAATAAATAACTTCTCTTTTATTAAAGTAAAAATCTGAGATTTTTTTTTTGTACGTAGCAGTAAAAATTTTTTTATTAATGATGATCTGTTGTCACTTTTTGATTGGATGATTTAATAATTATTAATCTATTTTTAGAACATTGAATTTTTTGAAAAATTGTTTTTTTAAGTTAAAAAATCTCAATAATTTATTAAATAAATATAAAATAAAAAATATACTACATATTAACAAAACCCAATATTTTGGTTTGAATCAAAAATCTCGAAAATGATAAAAAAGTGTCGAAGACAGGTTTTCCTGGTCCATCACCCATATGGTTAATGAACTTCTATAAAATACTAACGCCTTTTTCTTCTTTTCTCTCTTAGCAACTTCTAGATCATCGTTGGTATTAATATTATGGTTGCTTTTGTGCTGCCTTATTTTGAGAAAAATTCTGTTATATGATGCATTTTTTATCTGTATTTATTTTATTTATTTGAGCACTATTAAATTGTCTTTGTTTCGTGGGGCCTTTTATATTATGGCTAAAGGTAAACACAGTTGTTGTCACAATATTGTCACTTCATCATTACTATGGTGCAATGATATAGTAATCAGCAACAATTAAGTACCTGGAGATCCATATTATTTCACTGACAACCACTTTATAGATACCAAATTTCACAATTATTTATCGATAAGTTTATTTTACCAACAGTCTATTTCACCGAAGCTCATTTCACCAACAAGTTTTTTTTTTTTTTTATAAATTATACTAACTTTTACTCTAATTCTAACAATAATGACCAAAATTACTTTATAAAATGAGCTTCAATGAAATTGACTATTGGAAAATAAACTTATCGGTGAATAATTGTTAGTGAAATGTAGTGTCTATGAAGAGATTGTTGGTGAGTTAATCGGACTTAGTTCTGTTTCGGACTGGTTAACTGGAAGAAGTACCTAATGGATTCTTGTATTAGATATAGTATAGTTAATTCTTAGGTAGTTAATATAAATAATTTTGATTTACGACTTGAAGTCACATCTCTGGGATTATTTTATATTAGCGTACCCACAAAATTTGGTTATCCTTGTAATTTTGGCCTTAATTTGTTAATAAAATTAGTAAACCACTCATTTAAAATTGAAGTTAATAAATTGCATTATATAGTTAGGGTTAATGCTAGTATCTATCGATGCATTAAAGGATGGCTAAAGCCATGTACTTACGTGATTTTGAAGTTTTATTAAAATTAGTATTAGGGAATTGTCTTTTCAACATTTTTTAGAGCTAATCTATGTAAACAAAATTTCACAAAAAAAGCCATACGTAGGATTTCGGTTAGGCCAAACTTTCTAAATTTTGGTCAAAATTAAATTTTAATTTTAACTTTGACCAAAATTTAGACAAGTTTGGCCCACTTTTGCCCTACTGTTACAATCTATCCTGATATATAGTGATTATCATTATTCTGATCTTTTTTAATATTTTTTATTTTTTACAGTATTCTTTATTTAGTTTATAATGCGTTTAACTAATGCTACTCCTTCAAGTAATAGAATCTCACCATTACTGATGTTACCGTTACTGGTATCGTCATTACTGGTGCCATCATTTTAGTGGTGTTGACGTTATTGGTGTTTTTTTGCTAATTGCCACTATTACTATAGTCATCATTTCTGGTAACAGAATTTTGTCGTTTCTAGAGTCTTTTTTTGATTTTATATGTGTTTGGTTTACTAAAGCTTCTTTCTTTCAAAATAAAAACAGATTGTCATTTCTGGTGTCGTGTAATTACTAGAGTTCCCTCTGATTTTGAGTGGCTACTTGAGGTATTTTGGGCATAGGTTTACTACTATATTTTTGTAGTTTTTTTTCTTGTATAAAATATATTAACAAACTAACACCTTTATCTTCTTTTCAAGTAACTTATAGTTAGTTGTTATAATTATGTTTGCATTTTGGGTTAGATTTTTTTTCTATTCTTTAAAATGCTTCTGTTTAATTTCTTGTTTTGTAAACACATTCAAAAACGTTTTCTAGATAGTCAGTAAATTTTCGTACAGGTTCTCTTTCTGGTTTATATCTTTTTTGCTAGTGAATTCGTCGTTGATAGTACTATAACTGGTTCTGCGGTTTTGTCATTTGTTCTTCATTGCTAGTGAATTCATCGTTGGTGCTATAGCTGGTTTTGCGGTTTAGTTATTTGTTCTTTGTTGCCAGTAGTGAATAGTAAATTCGGTAATTCAATGACGTTTTCTAGGTTGGTCAGTAACATCTTCGTGCAAGTTTTCTTCTTTTTTCCTTGTTGTTCTAGTGTGTTATTTTTTTTCCAAAAAATGGGTTTTATTGATTTTGCCATAATAGTGCGCTATTGGTGATGAATTCGTCATAAGTAATACTATAGCTGGTTATGCTTGTTCTTCATTGCAAGTAGTAAATAGTGAATTTAGTGATTTAATAGCCTTGTCTTGCCGTTGTTGTAATTCTGTCATGGTATTACGGTTTTGGTTTAGAATTTGTGTTTAGCTTAAGGTTTAGGGTTAGAGTTAGAGTAGTTAGTGGTGTTAGTATATTGGTTGTTTTTGGTTTTTTTTTCTTTAGTTTGTTATGGCAATGAATTTTATGATGATTCTTGATTTTTTATATAAATTGCAAATTGTCAACATTATGACATTATTACCAATATATTATTAATATATTTAATAAATTATAATTGTATCATGATATATTGTTTTGTATAGTATTGAGGAAAATCTGTAGCACCAAAAAATAAAACCTGTATAATATTCTGTAATATTCCATAATAAATCGCATAATACTCCATAATAAATCACATAATACTTTGTAATAAATTGCGTAATACTCCGTAATTAATTGTGCAATACTCCATAATAAATTGCATAATATTATAGCAAACCATAATTATTGTACAATATTATGGGGCGTAATAACTTACATAAGTTTACATTTATTTATTTTGCTGATATATAAAGGAAGGATACTGCCCATCATTTATAAAACCTCCACCTACAAAAATTCAACCTGTATCTTCAAGAGATTACTCGGTTACAGAAAAAATTGCCCTAGAGAAAGAAATAGATCAACTACTCCTTCAGGATGTTATAGAGACTCTTCCAAAGGACTCTCCATGTTTTATATTAAAAGTGTTCTTGGAGGACCCCGAACATCTTTCATATAGGTCATACTTGCACTTTAGCAAAAAGTCAAAAATTTGGCCTAAAGTCCAATTTTTAGTTTTAGCAAATTGATAATAATTTTAATAATAGGTTATAATTTAGCATTTTGTCAAAATTATATCAATTTTATGTATATTATATTTTATTTTTAGCAAATTATCTGCATTTTGGAAAAATTATACTCAAAAATAAGCTACTTTATTTTTTAAACTACTATAATTTTTCAAAATTCAAGAGAAGATGCTTAATTTTGAATTTTTTGATTAAAAATCCAAGATTATGCATTTTTCTTAAATTTTCAAGAAATATAAAATTAAATATACAATTATAGTGTATTTTTATGTGCTGAGCAAGTTTACTTAGAGCATAAAGTTAGAATTAATTAGTAAAAATTTAAGAATTATAGTATTTTTTAATATTTTTATTAATAAAATTATATAAAATATTAAGATTCTCAAATTTTACTAATTGATTATAACTATATACTCTAATAAACCTTGTTCAGCACACAAAAATACATTATTCCGGCATATTTAATTTTATATTTCATGAATATTTAAGAGAAGATGCTTAATTTTGAATATTTTGATCAAATATCCAAAATTAAGCATCTTCTATTAAATTTTCATGAAATATTTAATTAAATATGCCAACATAATGTATTTTTGTGTGCTGAATAAGTTTACTTAGAGTATAAAGATAGAATCAATTAGTAAACTTTTGAGAATCTTAATATTTTATATAATTTTATTAATAAAAATACTAAAAAATACTATTATTCTTAGAATTTTACTAATTGATTATAACTTTATGCTCTAATAACCCTTGTTCTGTTCAGCACACAAAAATACATTATTCCGGCATATTTAATTTTATATTTTCTAAAAATTTAAGAGAAAATGCTTAATTTTAAATATTTTGATTAAAATATCCAAAATTAAGCATCTTCTCTTAAATTTTCAGGAAATATAAAATTAAATATACTATTATAGTGTATTTTTATGTGCTGAACAAGTTTACTTAGAATATAACATTAGAATTAATTAGTAAAATTTTGAGAATCATAGCATTTTTAGTATTTTTATTAATAAAATTATACAAAATATTAAT